GGAGGGGAGGGGAGGGGGGGAGATTCAGGCTTCAGAGTGGGGAACTACAGAGTTGGGCTGGATTCATTCTAACGAGGCACCTCCACAGAAGTCCTCCTTAAGGAACTTGGACAACTAGCCCTGTAGGGAGGCCCATCTGGAATACAGACATTTTAATTGGGGAATGGGGAACACAGAAGGAATGCTTCCCTGGGTCACAAGCTTCGGGGCTGTCGCTGTAGGGTCATCATGGGAACAGGTAGCATTTGGTCTGGTGGCCGCCTTGCATGGGACTTACTGGGATCCTGGGTGAAGGATGAAAGGCCACACCTAGCCTCTTCCAAAAATGGGTAGGGAGGCAAATATGAGTCTTGGGGGCGGGGCCAGGCTCTAAGGTGGTACCACACCCAGAGCAGGGGGGTGGAAATTTGAGGGGAAAGCAGCTCCGCCTATCCAGGTGTGTGAAATAGAGTCAATGTAGGCTTGCCTGGGGTGGGGGCAAAGGAGAGAGGGGGCTGGACCCAGGGCTGGGACCTCTTTAGTGGGGGTATTTGGACTCTAAGAGCAGAGACTCTGCCCCACCTGCAGTGCCTGAAGTGATAAAGGGAGCAGGAGGATGCTGAGGTTACTGAGCCAAGGCTCCCCAGAAAGTGAGGACACCTGAAGGAAAAGAGCCAGGACATAGCTCGTCCTGGCAGCATTTCCCATGGAGCTCTCTTTCACTCATGACCTGTGACACAGATCTGACAGCTGCTCAAATCGGTGGCCGCATTAGTATCCTGATCCCCATCTCTTCCTCCAGGTGCAGGACGGGAGTTTAGACCCACATGCCCCAGTCCAGAATTCTCGCTCTATTCCAATGGTTCCTTTACAGAGAAGGGCAGACACTGTGTCCCCAAGTCCCCAAACCAAAGCCAGATCCCTGAAGGGAACAGGAAATTGTTGACGTGGAACAGGAGTGCTGAGTGTAGGTAGAGTTCTGAACGTCTAGGACAGGCCAACTGGGCAGGATCCAGAGCTAGTCAGGGCAGGGCCTACTCTGCTGAGGACTCAGTGATGCCTCCCTGCCACCACCACCATCAGTACCTCTGTTGCAGTGCTTCCCCTGCCCCACCCCATTGCCTGCTCACCTTCCCCTCTAGCAGGCACTGCCATCCCCATTTGGAGATGAACTGAGGCTCCAAGGCGGTTAGTACGAATGCAAAGTACGCAGCCAAGAGCTGAGGCTGTTAGCCACCTGCTTCCATATAAACCAATATGCATGTGGATGTTTCCCAGAGTTCTCAGCAAGGGTCCAGTCTCTGTGCCTTCCCTCCAACCTCTTGATACATCCCAGCTCATCCCTGCCCCAGCTTTCCTGTGGCTCCAGCTATCCCCAAGAATAACAGTTGGTATCCAGATCCTCTGACTCTTTGATATGTACATCAAGAATTTGTCAAGGTTGAGAGTAAGCCTTCCTACCCCTAGCCATGCCTCTCACCTGTTCTAGATCCACCGCTGATCCCCCTATCCACACACCCTCACAGTCCTTACAGTGCCTTCCTCAATGCCCACTCCAAGTGAGGCCAGTCAGGAACCCAGACTTCCTCATCTCTCCTCTTGTCCCCTGGACCATGACATGCTAGGACACAAGCCAGATCCCCTTCATCACACACCCCTGCAGGAGACCCTCACAGCTAACCCCTTGCTAATGCCAGCCACCACAGAGCACACCTCTGATTTCTTCAGTGACCCATAATAAGGCCTGTCACTCCAACCCTGCCTCAACTGCCTCAACTGCCTCTTAATCTGATTTTTTTTTTTGGTCTGAGGCACAGTCTCACCTCCCAGCCTCTACTATTGTTGTCCCCTCTACCTAAATGTCCTTCCAAGGGGAAGGCCCTCAGGGCCAGCTAAAACATCACCTCCACCATAAAGCCTTCTGCATCTGCCCCATCTTCTCTGTAGTCCTACAACATAATATCCCAAATAATGAAAGGACAGACCCTGTAGACATTGGCCATGGGCCAGGCACTGTTGTAAGTCTCCACAGATTTTTTTATGTATTCATTTTTATTTTATATGTATAAGTATTTTGCCTGTATGTATGTAAATACACCCATGTTGTACAGTGTTCATGGAGGCCAGAAGAGGGTGCCAAATCCTCTAGAACTGGACTCATGGATGATTGTTAACCTGCATGTGGAGCCTCAGAACCAAACCCAGATTCTCTGCAAGAGCAACCAGTGCTCTTAACCACAGAACCATCTCTCCAGCCCCAATTCTCCACAGATTTAATTATCACAGAAACTTATGAAATGGCCACCAATAGTGTTGCAGATAAAGAAACTGAGACATGGAGAAATCGAGGAATTTCTGGACAGCCTCCTCACCATCCAAAGCAGCAGTGATGGCCCCATATCAGAGTGAACTCAGTTCTCTGACCCACTGAAGGATCAGGTCACGTCCCTGTCATCTTCCTGTGATGACCAGTCTAGTGCTCCATGCGAGAGTGGGACTGAGCGAGATGGCAAATGAGTAGTTAAACCCATAAGATATCCCAGAACCCACCCTGACCTGGCACTAGGGTGAAGAGGGGAAGGAGCTGTCCCTATGATCCTTACTTTTGGGGAGCCATGATAGAGGTAGAGATCCCCTGCCCTGTCCAGATTGAAGTAAAGAGTGAGATATTGTGAGACTTTTCCCTCTGGACACATGAAGAGCATTCCATTTACCCTAGATAGGGCACTAATGACAGACCAAAGAAATAATTCCACCCAGGCCTGGTTGAATGGACCAGTGAATTTATTGGGGTCACTTACAGGGGAGGCTCAAAGGCAGCTGCATCACTGAATAGCCCACCCCAGCATGGGTTACAGCTCCCAAAAGCTACAACCATGGAGCTCGTTGCCCAATTTGCAGGCAGCTCCCCAGCAATGTAACTTACATGAGTTTCTTTCTTTCCTCCGGGGTGGGGGTGGGGGTGTTTCATTTTGAAGGAATTATGTGTACAACATGAGGACTCTGTAAGAGTGTGGTTGTAGGCGTGGTGTGTGTGTGTGTGTGTGTGTGTGTGTGTGTGTGTGTGTGCTTATGTCTTGGGATGCAGGGGCACAGCCCCCCCATCTCCAAAGCCTGTTGGTCACTGTAACCTCTTTCTCAGGGCATCATTCAAGCCTACAAAGATGGGGTCCACTTCCTGAGCAATACCCCAAGCATGGGGCGCTGGGAGTTCACGGGCTCCTTCTTCTTTTCTGTGTCCACCATCACCACCATCGGTAAGGGCGGCGTGGAGGCAGGCTGGTGGGGCTGGGGAGGTGGCCGCTCCCTGATGGGGCAGTAAAACTGGTGGCAGCATTCAGGAGGGTTATCCAGGGTGTCACAGGGTATCACACCTATAAAGCAGTCAGTTCTGCTTCCTGGCCCCCACCTGCCTATAGGCACCATCTTAGGCCTTAAGCCCCATGAACTTTGTTTCTGCATTCCAACAGATACTTGGCGGGGGGGGGGGTCTGTGTACATGTTCAAATTTGGAGACTTGGATCTTTCTACCCAACCCCTCACACAGTCCATCTCAGCCTACCAGTGTCCCTAGTCCACTGTCACCATCCTCCGGGCCCCTTTCCTCCTCCAGAGCCTGGCCTTCAGCACAGCTGAGGTAGAACTTGTTCCCAAAAGATATCTGGGGACTGTGGTGTGTAAACAGTGTGAACAGAGAAGCACTGGGTCCCTGCAGCTCGGAATCCCCAGCCATAAATCCAATGGGCTGGCCCAATATTCTTGTTCACATCTCCTGCATAGCCCAGGATTTACCACCAGGTGGCAGACGCACCCCACCAGTGACAGGCTCCTTCCCACAGCTCTCTGCCTTCTCCCTAGAGGGAGAGATGAACATCCCAGAACCTTTTATGTAACAACCTTTAAGTCAGCCACTACTTTTTGGGAGGTTGTCCAGTCTTGGAGAGAGAGAGAGAGAGAGAGAGAGAGAGAGAGAGAGAGACAGAGAGACAGAGAGAGACAGAGACAGAGAGATGACAGAGAGAGAGGTTCTTCCATCTGTATGGACCTCCCAGAGATCTGGAAGGATCCACAGACCAGCGTGGTGCTTCTTCACCTTTATTTATTTATCTATATTTTCTGTATTTAAGGTGTGCGCATTCAAGTATGTGAGCGCATGTGTGTGTGTTTGCACAGGGAGTGCATGTGTACATGTGTGTGCATGTGGAGGCCAGAGACCAACTTCAGATATCTTTTCTCAGGAGTCATCCATCTTATTTTTTGAGACAGGATCTCTTACCAGGACCTGGGACTTGCCAAACTGGCTAGACTAGCTGGCCAGAGAGTCCCAAGGATCCTCCTGTCTCTGTCCCCCCAGCACTGGGATTACAGGCATATGCTACCACAGCCAGCTTTTTATGTGGGTGCTAAGGATCTGAACTTAGGTCTTCATGCCTGTGAGGCAAGCACTTTACTGACTGAGCCATCTCCCAGCGAGTTTCTTCATCTTTGCATTCCCAGGAGCCAGCCGGAGACCTGGCATACACCAGGCATTCAGCAGCAACTGCTTTACTGGGGAATTCCCCTAAGGATACATTCAGCCAGTGAGGATTGAGTTCCAGAGCTAGGGAGACCACATAGAGCATGGTTGCCATAGGTTGTGCCTTCCAGATGGGGGTGGGAGGAAGGGCTAGCCTCAGAACCCCATATCTCCACACCCACTGCCCATTCAGAGTCCCTCTGTGTCTTCTGGCTCTACTTGGACTGTTTCTGTCCTGTCTCTAGCACTCAGTTCCATCCTAAGAGTAAAGACAGAGAAAGCCCTCACCCAGCCCCACAGAAGACCTCTGAGGAGCTTTTAGATAAGACACTGTACCCACAAGCCCTACTGAGATCTCATTTTGTTCATCGAGGTTACCTCCACGGAGAGGTCTTATTTTCATATCACAACCAGGAAACTCATCCAGGGTCCTATAGTGGGCAGCAGAGTTGGAATCTGGAGCCCAGTGGGAGACTGCCTTGCTTTCTCATCTCAGGGACTTACAGAATCGCAGGAGCTTCCCACACAGGATGCACGGTGGGACAGCCTGGGACTGTGGCCTTAAGAGCACACACATGAAGTGGGAATAGGCACGGGACAAGGACACTCGGTGGAGCACAGCAGTTAATTGCCCCGCCACCACCCTGTTCCCCAAGTCATAGTTCTGTGATGCCAGCACTTGGGAGGTGCAGGCAGGAGGATCAGGAGTTCAATATCCTCAGCAATATAGCAAGTTTGAGGCCAGCCTGGGCTATAAGAGGCCCTGTGTCAAAACAAAACAGAAGACCCAGAAAAGAGGGGAATGGAGGGGGAGGGTCTAGAGAAAGAGTCCTTTGAGGTTCTCCCACCAGAAGCCAATAGAGCGACCTTCCACCATTCATCCATCAATTCACTAGTCCTTGAACACACTTGAGGCTCAGGGACTCTCCTTCCCACCAGTGACGTCATTACGTCCACCACCAGGGAATGTCTGCGCCCCATTTTAAGGTGGAGGAATCCAGATCAAAAAGATCAAGGCCTTTGCCCAAGGTCCCACAGCCTTGAAGTGGGCAGGTCCAGGAAATGCAGCCAGTGGGGGATGCTGGGAGTTGATGCACCAACCTGGCTCTGGCTCATTGTCAGAGCTGCCCATTGTCAGAGCTGCTGTTGGTGTAAGCACCAACCGAGTTGGTGTGGAATGGGGGAGGGGGTTGGGGAAGAACCGCCTTGGCTATACCCAGAGCCAGGCCCCTCAACCACCTCTCCCTCTCGCCTCAGGCTATGGCAACCTGAGCCCTCAGACCATGGCCGCCCGCCTCTTCTGCATCTTTTTTGTTCTTGTGGGGATCCCGCTCAACCTCCTGGTGCTCAACCGGCTGAGCCACCTTATGCAACGTGGAGTGCGCCGCTGTGCCCACAGGCTGGGAGGCCGATGGCAGGTGAGGGAGTAGCGGCGTACAGGGAGGGCTCACTTCCAGGAGAGGATGTGGTGGGAATGGGGTGCAGGACCAAAAGGGGTGGGACGGGGAACACTGGGGGCGGGGGTGGTAGGGTTGAGCTTCAAGGACCAGAATGCGGTCTTTGGTCATAACGGAGAGGAGAGTCCGTGCTCAGGGTGAGCAGGCCAAAGGGCACGCGCATCAAAGCCACCAGGGACTTTTAGCAGGAAATGTGAGGGACACAACGCTGGAGAGGTGAGTCTGGGGCGCCCCTCTCTCTCCGGGCAGCAGACCCACAGGCCCGCACCCTGCAGGACCCAGCTCGGGGACAGTGGCTGACAGGCTCAGCTGCTCTGCTCTCTGGCCTCCTGGTCTTCTTCTTGCTGCCGCCTCTGCTCTTCTCCCACATGGAAGGCTGGAGCTACATGGAGAGCTTCTACTTCGCCTTCATCACTCTCAGCACCGTGGGCTTCGGAGACTATGTGATTGGTGAGAGGCCCGGGGTTGGCGGGGCAAGGACTCAGCTGCAAGCCTGGGCACCCCCACCCCAGCGTCTGCTGGGTGCGGGTCACACGAATGCCTTGGTGGCCTAAGCAGGTCGTGCCCTTTACGCAGTGTGGTGGGCTAAAGTCCCGTATGTGGGACTTATGTCTGCTTGGAGCCTTCCTCCGAGACTGTGGGCTCAGAGTACTAGGGGTCACAGGCTGACTCTGGTCTCCTTTCCGCCCACTTTCTCGATGACTTGTGAAATGCATCCCATCCCCAGTTCCAGATGAGGTCTCAGACAGGAGATCCAGGGGATTTGTGAGACCCCAATCTTCCCTAGCCCCCAGAGAAAAACAGCAAACCTAAAGCCTGCAAAGATCCCATCCCACCAGGGCGCAGAAAACAACCCAGGGGCCACTGTCCCGAGACCATGAAGGCCAAAGTCCAGCAGGTGGCAGTGGAGGGACAGTTTCTGTAGGTGGCTAGAGCTCAGCCTCTCCTTCCCCTGCAGGCCCTGAAGATCTCTAAGAATGGGTTCCTTCACCACCAGACCTGCCATGGGGATCCACACCTCCCACTCACAGGCAAGTCCCTAGAGTGAGGAGCAGGCTGCCCCATGTTCCTTCAGTGGACTGAAGATGAGGCTTTTCCAGAGTAACAAGCTATTCACTCAGTTAACAAAAGAGTGAGCAGCAGCCCGTTTTACCAAGGAGGAAGCTGAAACTCTGAGAGGCCAAGCCATCTGCCTGAGGTGGCCCAGGGAGATACAACTTCTGATCTGTTTGACCTCCAAACTCATGTTCTTTCTAGAAAGACTCCCATGCCACTCACTGGGCCTGAGTGTCCCTGACTGTAAAGGATCTGCCTTGTGATTGCTAAGGGGCTGCCGTCGCTTTTTGACCTCTGGGCTCAAGGTCTCTACTCCTCAGATAGAAAGGTCTGCCCAAGCTTTTGCAACATAATCAGGTTCTTGCCTCTACCCTCACTGTGGAAAGATGTGTCTAAGGACCATGATTGCCCCTCACAGCTCAGGGGACAATTCTGGAATCTGTCTTCTCTATTCAAGCTGCTGTTGCTCTTGTCTGAGCAGGACTGTTGTGTAAAGCAGTATAGGTTGGGCACTGAACAACCCTCAGGGGGTCCCACCCACAGTATAATTAAGGCCTAGCACCCATGGATTCATGCAGCCTTTATCCTCACTCCCCTGGGCTCTTAGGAATATGTCCTCTGCCTAGCTCCTTTAATAACCTTCAAAGTTTTCCCATTGCCTTAGGATGGAGTTCAGACTCCACAACTAGGTCCAGGTAAGGCAGCCCACACCTGCCATCCCAGCATTTAAGGAGGCAGAGGCAAGAGGATCATGAGTTCAAAACCAGCCTTGTCTATATCACAAGACCCTGTCTCAAAAACAAAATAAAAATTCCCTACTAGGCAGCATTCTCTAGACAAGGGCACTCGAAATGGGGGGAGAGGCACTCGCCAGCCTCCAGGGAGGGGCAGAGACATGACACAGCCTATGGTAGCTGGAGTATCAAGGACCACCAGGGTCCCTTGGGAGGGAGCTACCCAGGGAGCCTCCTGCTTCAAGAGGATGGGAAACCTTCTCAGCCTATTGCAATAAAGCTCCCTGCCCTGGGGTCTGGTCCAAAGTCCTCGAGGCCAGAGGGGCTGTAGGCAGAGCAGAGCTGCCCACTGTGGGCCCTCAGCTTTGCATACCTCTGCAGAGAACCACTTCCGGAGCCCTTGGCCACTTTATCTATAAGGACTCTTGCTTATGTTGATAAGGAATATGATGCCCAGAGAAAGGCAGGGAGTTACTTAACACCCCAAAGCAGGTGAATCAAGTCAAATCTAGGGAGGACTCCCAAACTATACATGTTCTAGAACCTTCCATGCCTCCTCCTTAAACTTCAGCTCTCCTGGTCCCCTAGGGATGGACCAACCCCTTTCTTGGGTGGGAATGCTGAGCCCCTGTGCCGTGGGTGCACACATGTGTGCACATACACACACACACACACACACACACACACACACAGACACACACACACACACCTGGGTGTTATGTTCCTGCCTGAAGTTGGTGACCAGAGCCACCCAGGCCCCAGCCATCAGCTCCTCCCACAGCCCTCATCCACAATCACGTTAGTATTAGTTCAGTAGAGCGCCTCACCAGCTGCTGGTTCTCCTCCCCCCTCCACCGAAAAAAAAAATGAAATCCAGGGGAGAATTTGCCTCCCCCTCTTCTGTGGCCAGAAGCAGGAGCCACTCCTGGGCCCGGTGCCGGCTCCACTGATCTCATTTAGAGCCACAGTGGAATCAACCTCATTGCCCAATCAGCGTAATCCAGCCGCAGCTCCTGCTGTGGCCAGAGCCAGGGAACATGACCAGGTCTGATGTGAGGCCAGCAGGACCCGATGGAGGATGGGCCAAGGCAGGAAAGGCTGCAGGAACCTAGGAGGCTGGTCTTCACCCCCAAGCATCGTCCCACTCTGATGAGGGAGGCAGGTCAGATCCCAGGAAGCAGAGGGAACAGAGCAAGCCATTGAGCAGGCCCATAACAAGAGTCAGCTAAGTCCCCTTCTGTCCAGTGCCTCACCATCGCTGACCCAGGGCATCAGGTGGCGAGCACATGGTGCTCAGCTCTAGGCGTTGGGAGAGTTCTGTATTCAGATCCACCTTCCCTGTGCCACTTTAGCCTGTATCACCCTGGAGACAGTCATCACAGCTGAGGAAGTGGCTCACCCAGAAAAGACTCAGGAAGCAGGAGTGAGACAGAGGAGCCAGGCTGCTCTCTAGGGATCTAAGGAGGGATGTCTGAGCAGAGCTGTATGGATGAGGGGATGGTCGCAGGTCAAGAGCAGTAATGAAATAAAGAGCTTTCAGAGCTGAGGGCCCAGCAAGAGGAATGACAGCTGGAGAAACAGAGAAGGGGGGAGAGAGAGAGAGAGAGAGAGAGAGAGAGAGAGAGAGAGA